TTGTTATATTTTGCTTTTAAACATAGATTCAGACAGAATTTTTAAATTATTTGGTACTAAATTATAGTATTTTCCGACATTATATGAAAATGAACCTAGAAAGCTAGATGTTTTATGACGAGGTATTGATATACAATTTCGATGCCTGATATTTATATTATGTATGTCGGATCTATAGGTGATTTTGTTGTACAAGTAGGGTGGGGTTTTGGATTTTATTAGTTTGTGTATAAATGTACATAAATGAAAGTCGCTGGGTTCAGCCATACAACACCGGGCAAGAGAAATAATAAATCAGCAAGTATTAGGCAAAACTCTAATATCCAAGCAGCTCTAAAGGCAATTCTCTCAAATCACGACTGGTGAGAGACTGCCCAAAAGACCTAGCAGAGCTAAGTAGTCAATATAAGGTGACCCTAGCCTGGGTGCCAGGACACGGCAGCTATCAGGGCAACGAAAAAGCCGACGAACACTAGCTCGAGAAGGCTTAGATAGGCTCAGATTAGGACCTCTTCCGTGGAGTTGGCAAGGCATCCATCAAACAATGGATGCAAAGAGAATCTCATGAATATTGGCTATCTAAGATTGATTTAGACCTGTTTATTAAGGAACCATCGAACAAGTTCACGAAAGACCTATTGAATCAAAAAATTCAAACGGACACTGTCGCTAAGAAGGCAGATGACTGTCATCAGTCCAACAGAAGAAGCAACATTGTGCAGGTTCTGTGAATAAGAAGAGAAAACACCAATCCACGTCCTGTGCCAGTGAGAAAGCTTGGCTAGATTGAAGTTTCTAAAATTAGGCGAAGAAAAGCCAGACACATGCGACAGCCACTATCAAAGCTACTAAGTTTAATAAAAAAGACCAAGCTAGACGACACACTCTAAAAAACGGAGTTCCACAATAGATCTGAAAAGGTCTCTCCTTTCAAATCTAATCTAATCATACAAAATTACCTACTTTTTCCATACCATTTTTTTAAAATTAGTGGCTAAAACGTCTCGTTAAGTGCTATCTTCTGATATAAACTGGTGTAAATTAGTGTAAATCATTTCAGGAAACGAATGATGACTGAGAGTGTACGATACGATAGTAACAGTCGCGTTACAACAGAAGGCAGAACTTAACGAGGCGTTTTAGCCACTAATTTTGGCGAATTTTAAAGTATCATAAACAAGACATTAAGAGCTTAAATTCATGGAATATATTAAGTATAGTGCTGTTGAGGAATGCATTTATTTTCATTATGATATTTCAAAATTTAAAGCCTTTTGATTTTTTTTCTCGAAAACTGGAAGGAATTAAAACTTTTAAAAATATGTATATTCTAGATATTACTGTCTAATTTATTTTGCCTAAATTTGAATTTAAAAAAAAATCACTTTTTGAGATATCCTTGTCCGAAAATTATAAGGTAGTGCTGTAATCACCTTAACAGTTTTTTAGATAATTATAAAAAAATTCAAGAAAATCTACAAAAAGGTTCAAACTGACCTCTGTGATTTTTTAATATCACATATCTTGGTAACGGTCCATATAAGGACTTCTGTTGGTAAGAAACTCGCTCTATACAGGTTGAAATTTAATTTTAAACCACCTTGTATTTCAATTATTTTATTGTGTTGTATCAATAACTAAAAGGATTTCTAAGTTTATCTTTACATTGTCGAATATCAAAACTCGTACAGTATTAATTTATATTTATTAATAACTACAATTTTGTTATATATAATTTAACAATTATTTACTGTGCAATTAATACTTTAGTCATTATTCTACTATTATTATCAAAATAAAATGTATGATTTTTTTTCATGTTTATTCACAATAAAGTTTTTCAAATTCTAATATAGGTATTTGACTTGTTTTGAGACACGAGCTTGCGCGATTTTTGCAAAGAATGATGTGAGTCAGAATGTCTAATCTTAAAACAGAAGTAAGGAACTTTTAGAACCCTGTAAAAACACGGAAAACCCATTAAAGGAACATCTCCGTTTCTTAGTAGTTACTCAGATCTTTATGGAAATGTACACTTACACAAGCAGACACGAACAACATTTTTTATTCATTAAGTTGCAGATTAAATTCTAATTAGGAAAATTAGGACTTGAAGACATAATTGTTAAGTATGTTGATATTCTTAAACAAAAAAATCATTATTTTTACAGAAATAAAAACCTAAAAGGATGTTTAGTAATTAACGTATATACAGGGTGTCGATAATTAAGTGTGTGAATACTTGGGTGATTTTAATAAGAAAAGTTAATATCAACTTATGTCGTAAACCTCTTAATTTTTGAGCTACAGGATGTAACAGTTTTAAGAAAAAAATTACTTTCTTATCACTCCAGATATTTTTATGAAATTTTGTATACTTTTTTTATTCATTAAGGAGTATTTTTTGACATAAAAGATTTTTTAAATTTTTTACCAGTGACGTCCGTACCAGGTTTGAACTGAATATTTTTAAAGAAAAAATTGTACGCCACTGCTTTTTCTAAAAACCAAAATTATTTTTTAAATCCTCATTAATTTTGGAGCAACTTTGGTTTATTGACTTACTTTCGTACGCGTTTTCGCGAAAAAAAAAAAATATAAACAGAAAAAATTTCAGTTCATTGAAACTGCTTTTGATATTTTGTTGAAATTTGGTAGGCACCTGCAATGCGTGAAAACACTTTTTTGGGACAAAAATTAATTTTCTACTTCCAACAAGGACGTCCACATAGGCATGATATTGAATGTTTAGATATAAAAAACATTACACCTCTGATTATTTTAAATTCTATTTTAGAAATCGCGATTCATTTAGTAAAATGACAAATTCAAAAGAAAAAATACAAACAAAATAAAGGACCCAAATTATTTACAGTAATTGTTGGAAGTGTCCTCCTCTCACACGTATACAAGCATCAACTCTTCTTCGCATTTAATAACGCACATTTTCAAATATTTCTGGGGTGTTTCTTATGGTTTGGCAGCATACTATTATACCATTTCGTAACTGTTCTTTGATTTAAATCGGCACTGCGTACACTAAGCTTTTCAGATGAACCCCGAAAAAGTAGTCTAAACTATTAAGGTCGGGAGATCTAGGCGGCCATGACTGCGTTCCTCCGCGACCTATCCACCAATTTCGATAGATGTGATTTAAAAATTGACGCACTCGTAAGATAAAATATGGAGGCACATCATCGTGCATTAGCCACATCTGGTTTCTTAATAAAAGAGGAAGGTTTTCAAGCATTACGACAGATCTTCTTCAAGAAAATGTAAACATGATTGTCCATCAAGTCTTCTTAAAAGAAAAAATGGAACTATTAAATAATCATCAATAATTCCAGCTGAACCATTTAATGAGAACAGTTCTTGATGATCAATTGCATAAGGATTTTCATCCACCCATAAAATTATGAATTTATAGAATGAAACTGGGACGTTAACAGAAAAATTATATTTAGCTTTTCTTAATAATTAGTTAAGATCTCCTTTTAGGGTACTTTATTCTGAAACACCATGTATATCTGCTAGTTTTGGAAACATTGACCAATTTATTAAAATATTTAATAACAGAAATTAGTGGTAGATGGAAATCCCAATACAGTAACCTCATCCGTTATCTTTATCTTAATATAAAATATAATTAAATCTTGTATGTCTATTAAGGTTTACTAAATCAATCTGACCATTATATTTTTGTAGAATCCTTCCTATATTGATTGTCTTAGATTCCAAATCTTTATCCCGTTACATTTGCCAGAAATTCCTTTGTTCCATCCGAGAATGCGATCCGAGAAATGATATTGATTTATTCTTATAATCCATTAGATATTTCAGCATCTAAAGTTCCAAAGTCATCATCTTTTTCTATCCTATTCTCTTGGGATGAGTTTCCGAAGTCAGGTAGATTTTCCAATCAGTATAATGATCGTTTGATTCGATTTGGATTTTAAACTAGAACACTACAGTGATAAAACTTTTAAATCTGAAATGAGTATCTTTCAAAATATGTCATTAATAAACGGTCTGGCATGATGAAGAAACTTGCGAATTTGTGTCGGTTATTTGGAACATTTTATTTGTAATCAGCTGTTTAATTCTACTTTGCGGTGAATTAAAATTAAATATTTGTCATATATAATACTTGAACTGTCGTTACATGTATTTAATTGTATACTTCTCATAACAATAGGTAAATGTTGGGTCAGTAAAATCCTCTCAGATACCTACTACCATTCTTTCCACTTCATTCCCTGATCCCTCCAATGCGGCTGAAGAGGTTAAGAAAGTATGTATCTACCAACTAGAAGAATGAAATAACTAGTTTCAATAAAATTTTAAAAGGACACATAAGTTTTTTTTTGAATGGATTGATTGCATCAGACAAGAAAATATGTGGACCACAGTACTATAATAGTTTTAGAAAGTAAAAAAGTAAGAGTCTAGATCCAATGTTATAGGTTCATTTTCATATATTTCCCGATCAGATTCTGAATCCTTGTCGAAAATTTTTTTGTCTATGTTCCCCAAAAGTTGTGTGTATAGAGTTGTCCTTTAATCTTTTTGTTTAGATATTCTTTGTCTAGCCAGGAACATCTTGATTTAGCAATACAAAATGCTTTTAAATTCCTTCATCAAAGATAGACTAGTCTCTCCATAATGTAGTACTATTGGTAGATGTATTATTTTTATATATATATTTATTTAAACATTCGTGTTTTAACAATTATTTAATGGGAAGTGGTCCTTAAAAATGTTATATTTCTCTACAAAATGATTCCAGACATAAAGAATAGTTATTCAGAACAAACCACTGTTACAATGTTGTTTGGTATCCAAGGCTGTATGATTATTTAATGCATGTATAATTTGTCTTTTATCTTAATATAAAATGATTAACCAAATTGACTTCTGATAAAACTTTTATTTTCTTATTTACTCAATGTAACAACGCAAAATATATACTGGGCGAGGAAGTATTCGTAACAACCTTCCCCCTTTTATTTTATCATAGAAAATTAAGCAAAACTCAAAACGTTCTGAAATTCGTCCTTATCTGGCGACGGTAACTTGTTCCTCTGAAACTTGAGGAACCTCTTCTTGAGGAACACCTACTTGTGGACCATCTTCTTGGAGAACATCTTGAGTTGATAAATTATTTGTATTTTGTCTTTCATTAGTTGACAGCCATTCTCTTTCATCCAATGCGTTGATTTCCATTAGTTATACTCTTTGAAATGGTCTAATGATTACGATGGGTGCTGTTTTAATCTTAGCCACTCTAAATATTCAATCCTTTTCGGGAATTACTTCCTCATATTATACGATATCGCCAACTTTTAACAAAGTTGAGTTACATTGACCAAATAGCACTAGCTTTGCTAGGTACTCACACCTCGCATCTACTATTCTACTAACTAAATAATGTCGGTCGATGGTGTCTAAATCTACAGTTTCGTTGCTTATAGGTAATCCTTGGAGAAACATTACGGATCCAAGTGGTAACACATCTTCTACATTTTGAGATACGTAAGTCATTGATCTGTTATTCATAATTGCTTTCATATCGTATAATAAAGTTACCAATTCTTTATATTCTAAAGATTTTTTACTAAGTTTCTTCTTAATGGTTCTTCTACTATTGATTCCCATCATTCACGTCACCATGCTGAACTAACAGGATTATTATCCATCGTAATTTCTGAATTAAAGAATATTCTAAAATCTTCTCCAACAAAATTAGTTCCGTTGTCTGAATAAGTGACTTCTTCATATTAAGTCAATGTGACAATACTAAAAAAAACTGGGTGAGACACTATTCCTAACAGTGTGAACAGGACAATGTCTGCCGTTCTTGTTTTCTATTTAAAGATATATGTTTTGGTATCATTGTAAATTTGGGCTTCCTAAAACTATGATGGTGCGCAATACGGTTTAACACACGTACACTAAATTTGAGCCCAAGTGGAGAAGGTTCTAATCCTGATATACTGGATCGAAACTTACTTGGCCCCGGCCCCACCATACCTTCCTGCTGTCTTCGCTGCAGGGGTCCACAAGTTCAAAATAATTTGATTTATACGCCATTCCTTCTAATGGCCGTGAAGGATGACGTACTATCGTCATTTAGACAAGGCGCTGCTGAAGGTATTCCCCGGTTATGTAATCTATTTTGTCAATGTTGAGTCTGCTGCCTGTGAAAGCTCTTCTAGTTTTCGTTGGCGACTATAAGGACCTTCTCCAACCAGGCAGTTAGTAGTCTGTTATACAGCCCTTGTCTGTTTCGCGTTTGTCAATATTCTGAAAGAAAATGCCAAAATCATGAAAATATTTGCAAATACTATTATTCGGTCACTCTCCACCATAGTCCAGAGTAGTCTGACATGTCTTCTATAATCAGCTCTCTCGTACTCGGCGAGTTGTCTCGATTCCATGTTGGGATACAGTCGTAAGTTTTTGAAGATGTCTGTGGCCTTCTTGCCTGTAGCTGTCTTGTGCAATCTCTTCTTGAATACCATACCTTGAGTTTTTACGGCGTTATATCTTGATTTTCAACTTTATGCACCATTCTTCGATTTCTTCTGCTGCGTCTTGTAGATATTGGTTCTGGCTGTATGGTTGTTACTGATATCGCTGTGTCGTCTGCGTAGAGTGAGATGGTAGTACGTTTAGTCTTGGGTATGTCCATTGTGTATATGGTGTACATCAGTGGTGACAAAACCTCCCCTTGGGATACCCCTGTTTTGGGAATTCCTGGAATAGATAGGACGTGTCCCATATTGATCTGGAATTGCCTTCCATCGAGGTTCGACCCGAGCAGTTTCATCATCCCTGCTGTATATTCTTGTTCCTTCATCATCTTGCACATCAGCTCAGCCCGCCATCGCTGTCAAATGTCTTAGCGACAACAAAGAATATGGTTCTTGTTGACTGGTTTCTGTTAAATCTTCTTGTAACGCCTTCGACTGGTTAGATGGTCAGAGGACTTGCAGTTCGATGGAGTGTTTCTCTCTAAATCCGAAATGCTCGTCGGGTATGATATTCAATTCTCTTGTATCTTCTTGTTAATATTACTATTTCCGCAATTTTACTCACAGCTGGAAGCAAGATAATTGGCCTGTAATTTTACGGAATAGTGGGTGTCCTTATTCGGTTTCCGGATCATGGTTACCTGTGCCTGATTCCACAGCTAAGTTCTTAAAATCCCATAAATGATGGCTGTGATATAGACTGTGGCTTTCAGCGGCAGGTGTTTGATTGTACGGCTCGTGATTTTGTCTCTTCCAGAGGCCTTTTTGGCTGACACGTATTTGATAATGCCTCTCACCTCGTCAGGAGATGAGGATGACAGTTGTCCTAATTCGGGTTGGTTTTAATGCCAGTCTTTTCACATCTGAATAAAGTTAAAAGTAACTACTTGATGATTAAACTATAGCGAAAATTTTTGCTAATTTGTTAAGTAAACCTATATGTAACTTTACTCAGGTGAAAAAATGGGTCTTTAGTGTCTTTGAAGCATTAAATAAATCAGGGTTTTTTTTATTCGTATCTGTGATCATATTTCAGCTTAATGTTCATAATTATTGCAGTCTAAGTCGTATCGATAGTCGCTCATATCGGTCCCTCTCTATGTGCATGTTCCTGTTAAACTTTGTTTAACTTATTATACGGTATACATTTCATGTTGAAAATTACAAACCTGTATAACAACATTAAATACGTTAGTTATATTGTTACTTTGAATGTTTAATCAAAGCTTTGATTGTCAAATCATGTAATCTCAATCCGACGTGAGTTCGAAAACGTCTAAACTATTCTATTTCACTATCTCAATTTTCTGTTATCGCTACATTAAACAGCCGTAACATAGGCGCAAAACACAGAAATCATTTTAGCTGGCGGGTTTTATTAAAATGATCTCTGTGAGCTATTAAAATTTCATGACATTTGTGGGATTCCAACTAAATCTTTAGAGGCTTAAGCGGCTTTTACAAAAGCGCAATTTCGTTACTTTGAAGGGATTTAGGGACTTTTCATAGCTTGATGGTAACCCCCGTTTTTGTCCGTATGTCGAAATGTGTTAAAATCACAAACGCGTTGGATGGATTTTATGGATGTAGCGGTCGTCCTAGATTACATTTCATTTTTGCTCGACGTTCGACGTACAAGGGTAATTGGGTAAAATGAGTTAACTAAGTTCTTGTTGGATGTCTGGCTGTTTTATGATATTATCTACGACTAGACGAAGGTTGGACTTTTTGTAGGACGTACGGTTTTTTGTTGTTAATCAATTTTCATACAATTGCAGGTTTTCGGGATTATTTCTTACGACAATGCCATAAACAATGTTTTTCAATACGTATGAATAAATATCCTTAACTAGCCTAATTCACGAAGTATCGCACTTTGATTTAGAGGGAGCAACATGAGTGTCAGCCTTTGTAACCCCTTCCTGTTCTTAAAGATTTATTGTGGTCCGATAAGTTAATTTTTTATTATTTAAGCTTTCTTATCTGAAAATTTAACGAAGTAAAATTTTCTTTTTAAACCACAAGCGCGGCAGCTTTTCGTCTGGTGAGCACTGGCTCGTTGGTTGTGGAGTTTTTATTTCTAGGGTGGCTCCGGGCGTCACCTAATTTAAAAAGACTAAATGATGAAATAACAATCATAAGAACGGTATCTTATGAAGATATACTTTAATATATAACACTTCTTACCTGTAATTATAAGTAATTTACTTATAATTACAGGTAGTAATTTAATTAGTAATTTAATTTAATTAGTAATTTAATTTAGTATAATTACCCTTATATGAATTTGAATATTTGGGAAAATAGGAGATTTATAGTGACAGCCACCCGCTAGGCTCTCATCTGTTGCATACTTGAAAGTAATCCCATGGGGCAGATAAGAGTTCATCCTGGCCCTGGCATACACTTGTTCCAAAAGGTTGATCTTACAACATGTTTCCCCACTAACAACCTAGGATGCTGTTGTAAAATGCCTTCTAATTTCAAAAAATTTGTTTTTGGATTCGTGCAATGACGATCGATAATCCGTCTCCAAAGTGCAGTGAAAATCAAATATGGCTCCACAAGCCACGAGTCGAAAATATCAGTATCTGTCAAAAATATTCCTTAATGCTTTCTAAAAAGGCCATGATATCCTATAAAAGAGAATATCCCATAAGAATGTCTTTTAAATTCTAATTATTTAAAATAAACTTACCAAACATGTGGCCATTAAAATTTTACGATGTTAACACATCAGCATGTCAAAGCAAAAGGGAACGTTTTAACTTTTTGGTTAACCGAATTTAAACGAAAAATAAAATCGATTATTCTCGTATTAAAAATTATAGTTATTTAAATATGCAACACACTATACACTAGTGTGCTATACGGGTTGACATACAGTAAGCACCCATTTCTCTGGAATAATCCTTACATAGACGAAGTTTGTTGCGTTATTGATTTATTAGGTGTCAAGAATATACAGGGGGAAATGACAAAAATATAAAACGAACTTAGGTTCAATTTTCATGTTACACCTTAACAACCTTTGATTTAGGGACCTGGTTTTGAGGTGACCAGTTACTAAAAAAATTAATAATCAAGATTTAAAAAGTCATGGGAAACAGCAGTGTGATTCTCATCTTTCAATACGGGACATGTCGAGACGCCTATTTTCGTTCGACAGTATGTGATTCTTATGTAATGTCTATCTTTATATTCAACACGTAACGTGTTGAGTTCGTACATAAGAATCTCTGTCCAGGAACTAAACTGAAACCGGTTTTAAGAAAGTGACAAGAAATGAAAGTAATAATTTAATTTTAACCTTCTTGTTTTTCTCTGCGAATTTTTTTCAAAACCTTTTTGGTCTTTGATACTAGTTTCATTTACAGCCCACTTAATTTTTCTTGCGCCATTGTGGATCTCACCAGGTTTTCACTCTCTTGAGGGTGTTGAATGTATTCTCAATGGAAGCAGTTATACACGGGAGTGCCAAGAAAATCATTATTGCCTTCTTAATTGCTGGGTAAAAGTCGGTCTTAGCTAAAATGGACAAGAAGTCGAGGTTGGCGTTTTCTTCATTCTTCAAAATCTAAAACCGGTGCAATAATTCTTATTATAATTTTTGGAAATTTGAAAAAGAAATTCTTCCTAAAAATTCTGAAAATTAAAACCTCATATCTCCAAAGTGAAAATAAACCAAAAAAAATTAAAAAGCTGAGAATTACGTAAATTAAAAATATAAAAAATGAGTGCATCAACCAGGAGTCGAATCCGAAACCGTCCAAACTCTACCATTTGAGCTACCAACACACATACGTATTGATCTGAATTCTTAAATTTAAAATCAATCAAATTCTGATTCTCGTCAGTACACACAAATTCTCATCCAATCTCAGCTCTTTCAATTATCCATAAAGCCACCCTTTTGACATCGTGTAGAAAGACGATAATTTATAATTATACTAGAACAAATTTCTAAGGTCTTTCATCCGTTCAACAGTGTTAAATTTGCCGAAAACTCTTTTTTTTTCATTCTAAGCTTTTTCAATTTGGGGATTTGATGGTGTAATTTTCATAATTTTGAAGGGGGATTTTTCATTTTCATAATTTCCAAAAATTGCATTTAGTTTTCGGATCTAAACTGATTTTGTCACTGCACTTTTCTTTCAATTCCAATTCTGGTACTAAGTTTTTAATATAAAAGTCAGCTTCTGATGATACGGAAGATTTTAAGATGTCTACAGATAACTCTAA